CTCCTTTAGGGGCTCCAGTAACACACTCGAGCATGGTCTCATACAACCCGGCTGCTCCCGCAACCCGGGGCTCTCGTCATGGGTGAGGCACGCCCCGCGACCTCCGCCCGGGACCCCCGCCCCCGACTCCCCACGCTCCCCGGGGCCCCGCACGTCGGGGGCCGGGGCGGTGTGTGTTCCCCTGCATGCAAAACTTAACGGTCGCCTCGGCCAGGCTTTTGACTATCGCACCGGGGCGGGAAGGGGAAAAGGGGGCCGGGGGGCGGGTGGCGGGTCCCGGCGAGGCTGCCGAGGATGAGCGCGATGCCGGCCCGCTCGCGGGTGGGCAGCGATGCCGGCTCCTTTGGGGTGGCCCGTTGGTGGCGGCGATGGTGGAAGCATTGGGCTGGAGGGCTGCGAGCTTATTGAGTTTCGCCTAATCTGATCCCCTCCCCCGCCTTTTGCACCCTCCCTCAGTCCTGCCAGGGCTGGCTGGTTTGGTGTTGGTGGAGTGGACTTGGAGGGGGAGGGAGGAGGGAAAGGGGTGGAAAGGCGGCAGGATTTTTTTTTTCCTCTCTCTCTCTCTTTGTAACTTGCAGGTTAAGTGGAGCTAGAGAGCTACGTTGTAACCTAGTTGGATTTTTTTGGGGGGGAAATGTATCAGAATCTAACGAGTCCTTAATAGAAAGAAGAACAGGGAAGAAGTGGTCCAGCCAGCGAAGGTTGGTGTGTGCTTGTGTTGTGGCTCTGTGTTAGTCTTTCTCCTAAAATCTTAATCAATGGATCCCAGTCTCTTTCTTGTGCTCTCCGCTTTGGGGACTTCGAAAAGACAGGAATTCCCTTAAAAGCAGAGGAATGGAATGCCTTTTTTGAAAGCACGCATTGTGTGTGTTTCTGGAGGAACCGTGGGCTTGGGAATTAAGGGCAGGCTTCCCCCGTTCGGTGGTTTCCAGTGGGAAATCACTCCGGAAAGGGATCCCTTCAATATCGATTTATTGTTTTTGTCTTTCAAACCATGATCTCTTTGATTAAGATACTGCCTGAGAAGTTCCACAGAGACAAAGTCAGGTGAACTGGACCGGGCAGGTCTTTAACATGGTGATAACGGGGATGCTGTTTTTGGTGTCTGTTTGTGTTGGAAGCATTGTTGGGTAATAGCAATTTGTGATCGGTAGAGCATGCTGCTTCTAAAAAAATAAGTAACTGCCCAAATGCTGCCTTCCAGTTCCCCTCCCCACACACTACAAGCACCCCTTCTCTCCTGACCCATACTGATTACAACAATTCTGAAATCGGATCCAACTGGAAATATTTTCTTTGGAGGTCAGAAAGTTGTGCAATTGGAAGTGGGAGATGAGGCTAGAGGTCCTGGAAGTGTGGGGAGGGGGTTCTTATTGCCCCCCTGATGCTGCGTTTATTCTTTATGTGTTGTCTGTGTGGGTTCTGAGGGTGTGTATGTTGGTCTAAAAGGACTGTTGAGGGAAGGATTTCCGATTTGTTTCCGCTTCAAATCAACTGTCCTGATAATCTCATGGTTGATGCCTAATACTAAAAGGCCAATTTGTGTGTGTCTTTATCCCTGCAGACGCTCTCCTCCAGAAGGGCAATTTATTCTGGAATTCTACAGCAGCTATTTTTACTTCGTAACTCTACCTACTCCCCCCTCGCCCGCCCCCCAATCCATCACCTTTTAACCCCCTCAAGTTTGGTTGGAGTCCATGGTCTTTAAGGAAATACTAATATTACTTGTTTTTTCTTACATGATTTTTCATTCTTTTCCTTTACTCTTCATCCTGTTTTTCTCCTTTTCTTGTAGATTTGTACAAACAAAAACAAAACAAAAAAAAACCACCCCAAAACTAAACTTCATAAAGTAGCTGTCATCAAAACTATCTGGCAGTTCAGCCCCATTTCTGACCTTCCTTTAGTTCACGCCAGTAAATTGGATGTGCCCCACCTGAACTCATCTTCATCTGCAAACGTGTGTGTGTGTGTGTGTGTGTGTGTGTGTGTGTGTGAGAGAGAGAGAGAGAGAGAGAGAGAGAGAGAGAGAGAGAGAGTGTTGGGGGCAGGAGTGGGTCTAGAAGGGAGATGTGGAGAGGAAGGGTGGTGTCTGTGCAGGCCACATCTGCACCTCGGGCCAGACCTGGATAGTCTGGGAGAGTTTCCTTTGCACACCCCAGTTAGATGTTGTCTGGCAGGGATGGGGAGGCGGGGCCAACTGGCCAGGAGGCTTGTAAGGGAGGAGAAAGTTGTGGCACTTTGCATGTAGCCAGTTTACAATCCGGGGTCACTGTTTCCCCCTTCTGCTTTCTGTGGCTTCCACCTTCCCAAGACTCCCTGAGGGAGGCAGACTCTCTTTGGCTCTGCCCTGGCAATCCCAAGTTTCAGGACCAAGCCTAAGATGCTGTGTTTTTCTTCCTCCCTACTTAAAGGAGTTGCTTGCTAGGAGAGAAGGGCATTACGACAGATCAAAAGAGTGTGCCTGATCCAGAGTCTTCGCAAATCTCAGGGAATATAGGCTGAGAGTTTATGAAGACCAGGTCCTCTGAAAGTGCTTTGTTGCACACCATCTCCCCTCCCCCCATTTATAAAAAAATGTCTTAGTCTTGGGAAGTTGAATTGGTGTTAGAGCTGGGCTGCGAGAGCTGCTTGCCTCTCTAGTAACCCGAGCTGGGCTGGGGGGAGGAGGTGGTGAGTGAATGCAATCCTAGGCCAGAGGAGGGAAACCAACTGACTTGTCTCTCTTAGCCGGGAAAATAGATGTGTCACTGGAATAAACAAACTGGAAGTGGGGGAGGGGAAGGCTTGGAGCGAACAGAAGGCCCAGTGGCTGAGAGGCAGGGGTGTGGGTTAGGAAGGGGCCACTTCTAGCTTGGGAGAAAATATCGACTGCCTTATATGTTCATGAATGGGCTAGACAAGTGAGGGGTGTAATCCGATCTTTTGTGTGTTAACATCAGAATGTTACATAGGAAGGCGCTGTTGGCAGACTCGGTTGAACTTCACACAGAGGAAGCCTGGGGGTATCCCTGAGTGAACCAAGGAGCCTGTGGTGCCACGAGGGCTTCTGGTCCTCTACTTGTATTATTCATGGCCAGCTACTTGGTAAATTACTTGACCTAAAAGACGGTTGGAGGGAAAGAGAAAATAAGTGCATGGAATCTTTGTAGAATTTAGTTGAAAATGGTCAGTGGGGAGAGGCAGGAGGCAGGAGTTTGCTGAAGAAGAAATACATAGGCAGGCACTTCTCCTTGGATTCCCAACTCTGTCTCTGCTGTTCTCTTGACCTTCAATTCCATCTGGGGCTGAATCAATACTTGTCTGGCACAAAAATGCACCTTCAGAGGAAGAGAGATTTTCGGACTGGTCGTTGTTTGCAGTTGTACTTCAGCCTCACTCTGAAGCGTCTTTATCCCATGCAACAGGAGGAAGATGAGAAGTAGCGAGATGGATGGGACATCCCTTCTGGATTTCCGAGGAGACACAGAAACTTGGCCGGGCCTCAGCCTCCCAGAATGCCAGTTTTTCCCCTTGGAGACTTGAAGTTTTAATTGAAACCAGAAAGCTATTGAAGGCAGACCCAGCCAATGAAACCTTGTTTTCTCTGCTGCTCAGGAATGGGAAATAAATAATGTTTTGCTGATGGCATTTCAAGTTGCTTCAGTTCTGCTCCTGCCAGAAGAACGGAGTAAATTATTATTAACACATTAGCATTGTCAGGAGTTGCAGTGCCTTAAAAATCGTATGATGTCATTGAGTTTGCTCAGAGACCCACAGTGTGGGACAGTTCGGGTGGGGTGGGGTGGGGGTTTAGGAGGCTGCTCTTGTCCCAGAGAGCTGCCCTGAAAAAACACACATGAAACCTCATAGAGTTCTTGCCATAGGTCACCATGTTTGGTCCTTGGGTTCCTGTGAAGAATGGAACAAAACAATTCACTTCCATTCCTGTGCAGTGGCATATTAAGAGACTGAGTAAGCTTCCCCAAATGTTTTGGGCCAGGATTAGGCAAGGAGTATTATCATCGTGCATATTGCCTTAGGTTTGGGCCTCTTTTAGAGCAATTTCTAAAGGCGACCTGGTGTTCCACACACACTTCATAACGTGGTGGACACTTTGGGCAGCCAAACGCTTGATTGGTGCAGAAAAGTAAACACCCAGATAGCCACAGAGTACTTCATAGAAAGTGCCTTCCTCCATTCTTGTTTGGTTCTGTTTTCATTTCCATGTTCACTTAGCCTTCTATTAGATTCTGAGGCCTCCTTGGACATAGCAAGTTTGGGGGCAGTATAAAGTTTGGGGGGAACTGATAACCTTAGTTAGACGACTGAGCCTAAGTTAGTGGTCCTTACAGTTTTAAAAGTCCAGAGGGAATCTGTGTCCCTTTTCAGAGTTGGTCCTCTCCCCCACCTCCCGCCATCCTTAGAGGGTGCCTTCTAAGGTTGAGGAAACGTTATATTTTTAATGGCCTTTTGTTTAGAAACCCACACTTGACTTCCCATCCAGTTCAGAGCAAATGATGCCAAGGGTCTAATGAAGAAGGTGACCAGGCCCAAAGTCCACAGGACCCCTGGGAGGAAGGGTTCTGATTGGCAGATGCATGATGAGCCAGTGAGCTGTCCCCAGGTATGCCTCTTCCCTTGCTAGGGAGGAACAGGAATGAATGGCGAGCAGATAAGTGTTTCGGAACTTTGCCAGCTTGGAAAACTGTTTCCCTAACCCAACTTATTGTTTTCTCTAAAAAATACTCCCTTTCATATACATGGCACTTTGCCCTCTTCAAAGATATCTTCACATCCTAATTCCCTCTTGATTCTCCGAAGGAGGGAGACCAGATAAGCATTTTATCCTCATTCAGATGAGGCAGTTGATACAGTGATTTGCGTAAATGACACAGGTTGGTGGCCGACCTGGGACCAGAGCTGTGTGATAAAGTGTGAGAACATCCCACCTGATATGACAGTTTGCTTCGGATCCTATCCTCTTACTTCCCAGCTAAATGACTCCCCCTCCCCCACAAGTTATTGAACCTCTTTGTGCCTCAGTAACCTAATCAGTAAAATAGGGATAAGATGCTTACCCTGTCTACTTCACAGGGGTTGTGAGGATTAAACAATGCCAGCTAATTTCTGTAATTGGACTCTGAGAGGATTTCCATGCTGCCTCCTGGATACTGTCCTGAGATCGTTGTCACCATAGCGCAGAGATTAATAACCCCTCGGTATGGCCAAAAATGCCTACACGGGCCCCTTATGTTCTAAGACAGTCAGGGAATAGTTGTTTTCTGTTCTTGAGTTGACTCAGTTGAATTTTTGAATGCTTCCTATGCTCAAAGAGAAGAGGGTATGAGTGGGAGGGTCCCCATCAGGGGGCTACAGTGGCTGAGCAGTGACATTCAGGACAGAAGTTTTAGCCTCTGTAAAGAAAGGAACTTATAACAGGATTACCTGTGTCCCAGCAAACCCAGTGATTTCTCTAGAATTGGAAAAGGGCTTCACAGTCCAGTTGTTCCCTCTTTTTTTTTTTTTAAATTTTTAGGGAGAGGAAAGGGGGAGAGAGAGAAACACTGAGGTGAGAGAGAAACATAGATCTTTGCCTCCCTCTCACTTCCTGACCAGGGAATTGAACCCGCCACCTTTTGGTGTACAGGATGATGCTCCAACCAACTGAGCCAAGCTGGCCAAGGGCTGTTCCCTAACTCTTAACCCTCTTTCTCTTTCCTGTGATTCCTGGCGCAGCCCCAGGCACCTGGCGTTGTTCTCGAGTGAACCCCATTTTACACAACACACGCAGGCCTCTGCTCCCGTCAGACTGGCTTCCTTGCTGTCCCGGGGCACTGTGTGCACAGGTCTCCTCCACACCTCAGCTGGTTATGCTTCACCACCTCCTCTGGGAAGGGGTCCTGATCGGGCCCATCTGGCTAGCACTGCTACCTCTTAGGACAGCACACCAGTTCTCAGCTCCACCCCCAGGCTGCAGAGCGCTTCTGGTCTGAAGCTCTAGCCTCGCAGTGGGTTGTGCTGCTTCTTCTGTTTATTGTCACTACCTCCCCAGGCTGTGGGTCCCTGAAGAGAGGGACCGAGTTTGCCCCAGGACGCCCTGCCCCTGCGAATGAACCAGTGACTCCTGGTGCATGAGTGAGTCACAGAACTGATGTGAAGGTAGAATGTTCAAAGTGAATGCTGTTTAAGGTGAGCTTGGCTCGTGCTCCCTGAGAAGGCGCACATTGAGGACCTCTTAGACAAAGTGAGTAATAGCCACTTGCGTCAATGGCTTTTGTACTTCTGGCAGTCTTTCAGGGCCAATCGCCCACTCTCAGTTTCTCCCTCAAAGCCTAAGAGTTGATGATGTTTTACCACATGTGCATCCTACCGGTCACTCATTCATCGAATCATCAAATATTTATTAAGTGCCTACTAGAGTCTCATCGTCACAATAGCACATACAGCTCTTGACTTTCTCTGAAAATGCCAATTGCATTTCTTGTCCACCACACTCATTTTGGCACTTAACTATGCAATCTTGTCTGTTACTCAAGTCCAAGTGCTTCTCCGCTCCTGGGTGACGGCGCGAGGCTGGCCGCAAGGGAAAAGGAGACCGAGCAGAGAAGCACTCAGAGCGGAAAGTTCCAGGGAAAGGCTCCTGAGAGGCAGGCCACAGGCTGGGCTGGCTGGCCACTGGCATTTGATGTGGGACAAGTTACATTGCCTTGTCACTCCTATCACAGTAAAGTGAAAGAGTTGGGCTTACTATGAAATTCTGCAGTTCTGCAGCTAGACGTGTCCCAGGAAAGTTCAAGCTTTCTTAAAGCTCAGAGTTCCTCAGTCCCCTGTGATGGCAGCCCAACTCCCATGCAGACCAACCCAAAGGGTTGGCACACTTTGCTAAGTGTTTACTGTGGGGAAGTAGGTTATAGAAGGGGGAATGGGACCAGTTAGAACTAGAGAGCCAGATGTGGAGGGCGGGTTGGGAGAGGAGGGATGGTGAGCTGTGGGAAGAAACACCATAGTGAATAGTGTGGAAGGAAGACAAAAATTGACTCTGTGTCTCTTGTAAACTGGTCCTCTTCGGTGAAATAACTTAGTCGAGACAAGGGAGATGAGGTAGACAAAGGAGCTTCTGGAAAATCTAAACTATCTTCTCTCTCTGGGCTTTGCTCCTGCTTCTGGTGCCCACGAGGCATCTGGAATCTCTGCTGTGGTTACTTCGTGACCTCATGGATCTAGGAAGCTGGGTATTATTATTATTATTATTATTTAGAGTTCATTGGGCACGAAGACTGGGGCCATGCCTGTGCTCCCTGAGGTGTCTTCTCGATCCCCACAGCAGAGCCTGCCCTGCCATGGCCTGTGTTCAGTCACTACTTTTGCGTTAGTTGCATGCATTTTGAGATCAAAGATAGTGACCCACAGTTTGTCCAATGCCAGAGAGAAGCCTCTGTGCTTTGGGTTGAACTGGGATCAGAAAAGCTGGGCTCTGACCTGAGGCCCTGTGAACATTCAGCCGGAGTCCTGACCCACGTAGGAGCACACTGGTGGGATACTGAGGAAGATGGAAGTTCTGCAAGCTACTGAGATGTTGCAGTTGCTTTTACCCTAGGACTGGGGTAGGGAAACAATAGCATGGGACACTATTAGCCTAACTGAGTGAGAAGCAGTGTCTTCATTATTTCTCCCCTCGGCCAAAGATGTGTGGCTCTACCATGGAAAGAACTGCTTGGGGTTTGAACCTGGAGCTGGAAAGATGTGGAGACGGGAGAGGCTGAATTTGATGAGTCCAGCACAGCAGCCCCACCCAACACGCTCATCAGAAGTGTTGGCACTGTTGTTCTGCTTGTAGCAAAATAATGAAATCTGGGTGGCAAGTCCCCTTGCAGTTGTTGGTGGCTGTGTCTGTGACCTATTGTTATTTGAACAATGAGAGCTTTGATTTTTTTACAAGTATTGATTAATAATGGTGGCTAAAAAGGATGATTTGATGTGAAAGCCCTGTGGGCCTCCTTTCTGCTCATTATTTTGTACTCTAGAGCTCGATTACAGTCGGTTTTTTGATCCTCAAATATTTATTAAAGTCTCAGCATTGCAGCCCATGTGAGCCATTGCTTCTGGCGCTGTTGGCAGGAAAGGTCTGGTATGAGAGGGGGCTTTTGCCTCTGGAGAGTGGACAGAGTGTCTGGAGAGACATGCTTAACTCGGATGGAAAGCAGCCCGCAGCCGAGTGCGAGCATGATTTGAGTGGAAGTATGATATTTGTGTGATCAGGGCCGAGGCGCAGTCCAGGAAAGCTTTGAGGAGGATGTGATTTGTGGTTTGATGGTGGAACTGGAACACAGGGACATTCTTGGTGGCAGAGTAGCTTTCACACTGGAGCAGGGATGGGGCAAAGTTTGAATGTGAATTTGGAATTGCCCCACGAAAGGAATGCTGATCACCAGCATGCACTGCAGCTGGCAGGAGCAAGGCAGCCTGAGGATGAAGGTCCCGCTGGCTGACATTGACGGGCTGGCCACCCATAGCAGGCAACTTGGTGGTCTGAGGTCTTCTGGCTACAGTGTGAAGGACAAAACCCAGGGCCCTTTAAATTGGACCCAATCTAGCTGTTCAGAGTTGTCGTTCAAACTCACCAACTCTTCAACCCTCTGGTTCAGCAA